AATAATGGCAATTCTGGAGGAGAAACAGATCTTAGCATTAGTCAAAACAGTAATGACAATTCAGAAAATAATGGCAATACTGAAGGAGAATCAGATCTTAGCAATAGTTCAAATAATGAACAAGACACAAACAGATTCTCCTCCTCTTCTGCGCCCTCTTCTTCTACTCCAAATAGTCCATGCTCCGTTAACTCCTCATCTAATTCATCCCATTTTTCTTTTGAGTACTGAAGTTCCAGTACGTGTTGTCAATTTCTGCTCTCAATACTTTAGTAGGTCTCCATTTTTAGTGCCTTTTTTAAGCATGAGTGCTGAGAATTATTATCATAAGATGCTTTTTACAGAACCATTGTACTCGTCAAACTTCTCATTAGCTATGTTACTACTGTAGGTTGCCTAAGATGTCGTCTGTCGTCTGCCTGCCCATAGTTTAAGTCTGTTTTTTATTCATCTATCAAAATTTTGTTTTTAGTTATCTAATTTAATCCTCTGATGTTCCAATTTTCTTAAATTATATTCAAATTTGAGATTTCAGTACTTTCTGTTGGATTTGTCTACTTCTTAAAGACAGGACCATAAAAATATCTATCAATTTTTGTTGATGTTTTCTTTTTGATTTGGTAATGAATTGTACCAGTGTAGAGGGCTAGCATTATAATGTAGTTGCTCAGGATTTTTCATTGATTTTATTACGTTAATTAAAAATGAAAAACACTTTTTATTGATTTTTCTTTTTTGAGTTGAAGAAACTTGGCTAAATATGAACTGCAGTACAAAGGCACAGGGAGTTACTTCCAGTTAAATTTTTTCAATGAACACCTTATCTCTCAAAAATGTGCTCACCACTTTAATTGATATCAGCAAACCTTTTTGAAACATGTGAGTCCATTTTATATTTTGTTGAAGCTATAAAGGTTGTCAGGAATGGAAATTCAGTGTGGATCTTTTCCTGTCTTTTTTTTTTTTTTTATTTATCTGTGGTTCAGGCTTTCTGGGTTCTCTTATTTCGGATTTCTTGTGTTATGTGTACACAACTTGCGCTTGTCCTTTTTCTGTTTGCATGGTTGTACATTATGTTGGCTGCATGGCTGCATGTTATGTTATAATAGACGTGGACATCTCAAGTCCCTTTCTCTCTCATTCTTCACGGTATATTCCATATCTGCTTTTCTCGTCGCCTTATAGAACCACTCTTGTCCCTGGCACGTTTACATCGTCGCGTTTTTCTTGCGCAGGTGCCCGCTCTGGTCGAACAACGACGAGCTGCATGTGAACGCTGTGGCGAAGGTGGCGGAGGAGGCCAAGGCGGAGGCCCTGGCGCGGGACCCCTCTGCCACCCTGAAGCACGACCCCACCGCCATCCTCCCCCAGGCCCGACAGCGGCCGCACGGCCACCACCACGGCCTCGGCCAGCTCGCTGGGCAGGAGCGCCGCCGCCACCACCTCGTGCACGGCGCGGCGCCCGGGCTGGCGGCGCAGCTCGTGGACCGGCTCCAGGCTCTGCAGCGGCGCCCGGAGACGCCCGAGGAGAGGCAGCGGCGCAGGGAGGAGCGGCGCCGGCTCCGAGCACAGTTGTACCCGGCGGACGCCCGGGCGCAGCTTGCCGCCGCCATCGCTGCCGTACGTCCCGCCCCCGCTGCAGCCGCACGTCCCGCGCCCGCCCCCGCTGCTGCCGCACGTGCCGCCCCCGCTGCAGCCGCACGTGCCGCCCCCGCTGCAGCTGCACGTGCACCCCCTGCCGCTGCCGCCGGTGCGCCCCCTGCCGCCCATGCCGCCGCCGCCGGTGCGCCCCCACCTGCCGCCCACGCACGCCCTGCCGCCGCCGCCGCCAGGCCTGCGCCACATCATTACCTGCAGTACCCTTTACAGCAGCCGTATTATCCTCCCGCCTATCTGGAGTGGCCAGCTCCAAGACCACAGCTTCCAGCAGCACCCCCACCAGTAGCTCCCCCGGCTTTCCAGCCTTGGGAGGATGCCGTGCAAAACTTTTTCAATATGTATCCTCCGGCATTTCAACAGGGTGCTAACCAGCCACCATACCAAAGGTGAATCAGTACGTAATAACATTTGTCTGATGATTGACGTCAAGAGGTCCAAGAGATTTTGAATAAGTTTGTTTCTGACTATTTTTTTAGTTTTGTTATCCTTCATTGCATGTGCGCGGATGTATTTTTATGCTGTCCTTAATAGTTTGTAGAAGCTTGTGAGGAGGCGTCTAATGTACCTGCAAATTGTGATGAAATAATTTCTTCACACAGTACCTCTGTGTCCTAGAAATGTTTTCTATAGTTGTACAGCCGTTAGTACTTTACTTTCGGAACATAATGTTAAGTATATTTTTATTTTCCTGTTCTCAGAGCCTTAATTGAAATCTGGGTGATCTTCCCCATGCTGATAAAGCTCTCTAGTCTTTTGTATGGTGAGGACATTCATAAAAATGTAATTGAGCAATAAATGGAAAATATTATGAAGAGAATCATGAAGTGCTTTTATTTTTCAATGTTGTGTTCTTTATATTGTAACTTTCTTTTCCAAATACACAAGCAAAGTTGCATGAAACTCCAACAACTCTAGGAAAACTTTGATGTGATGTTTTTACCGTACTACTCTGTCTTAACACATTTTTCTAAATTATTTTAATTACCATCAACTTGTGTGCTTTGAACAGTTATGTTTTCAGATTCATTTGGAATTAATATTTAATTTGCAAATCACAAAGTGGCTTGCGAGCCACGTTGCTGGGACCCCTGCCTTTTACTTCATAGCCATGGCCATGGGCAGTTTTACACTACCTTAATAATACTCCACAACTTTCTATTGTTTATCTAGAGAGGCTAACTTATCACGTTATCCTGTTATGCTCTCTAACGTTCGTACTTTATCATGAGATACATTTATTGGAGCCTCAATGTCCAATGTTATGCGGAACCAATGAGAGTGAGGAAACTAATTGGATTAAGCTGGTCAACAGTGTATAATTCATCCATTTCAAGAGCAATGCAACAATAATGTGTTACACTGGTATGTCATCTCATGCGTTTTGCTTAGAACTAGATTTTGCTCACATTTTGTTTGCCTTGCTGTGTATTCACTCATATCATGCCAATCCATAGCCGTCTGTTCCTCTTCTCACCTTATAGAACGACTTTTGTCTGTGTGGCGCTTAATGTTTCGCGTTTCCTTTGCCCAGGTGTCCGCTTTGGGAGAACAACGACGAGGAGGCCGTGGCGCGGGTGGCGGAGAGGGCCAAGGCAGAGGCCCTGACGTGGGACCCCACAGCCACCCTCAAGCACGACCCCACCGCCATCCTCCCACGAGGGGGAGCTCAACGACGGCAACTGCGGCTACCGAACCCAGAAGATGTTGGCGGCCGAAGGCACGAGGAAAGGGATATGCTCGAAGCTCACCGGGCCCGTTTCCTGGAGCGCTATTTGGAGATGCAGATGCTAGGGGCCCCAGGTGCGCTGCTGGCCCTAGCTGCGGAGGCGGCTGCTCCCCTGGCTGCGGCCGCCCGACCTGCGGCTGCCGCTGCCCCTCTGGCCGCGGTGGCCCCACCCCTTCCTGCGGCAGTTCGTCACCGTGCTGCCGTTGTCGTTCCACGTGCAGCTGCTCCACCAGCTGCGGCCGCCGCACTCCCACCTGCCGCAGCTCGACGCCCTGCAGCCGCCCCTCGTGCAGCTGCTCCTCCGGCAGCGGCGGCCGCACCCCCACCTGTCGCAGCTCGTCGCCCTGCAGCTGCTCCTCGTGCACCTGCCCCTCGTGCAGCTCGTCGCCCAGCAGCTGCTCCCCCAGCTGCGGCGGCCGCACCCC